CGGATGGAGCCTGACCCGGTCCCCAGAGCTCCAGCAAGCAGCGCGGCCCCCGCCTGGCCTGGTCCCAGAGCGCTGGAGATGAGAGCTGGGAGGCATGGCCCGTGTCTCCCGGTGCCGTGCCTGCAGGACTCCTACAGAAAGCCCTCCCCCCTCCTCTCTGTCTGGTGCTGGGAAGGCAGGCGGCAGGGTGCAGCTCTCGGCCTGCCTGCCCCGGATTCTACATTTGCAACAGCAGGCTGGGCGCGGCCCCCGCCTGGCCTGGTCCCAGAGCGCTGGAGATGAGAGCTGGGAGGCATGGCCCGTGTCTCCCGGTGCCGTGCCTGCAGGACTCCTACAGAAAGCCCTCCCCCCTCCTCTCTGTCTGGTGCTGGGAAGGCAGGCGGCAGGGTGCAGCTCTCGGCCTGCCTGCCCCGGATTCTACATTTGCAACAGCAGGCTGGGGGCGGAGGCCTGGGGGGCTCTCCCCAGAGCGCTGGAGATGAGAGCTGGGAGGCATGGCCCGTGTCTCCCGGTGCCGTGCCTGCAGGACTCCTACAGAAAGCCCTCCCCCCTCCTCTCTGTCTGGTGCTGGGAAGGCAGGCGGCAGGGTGCAGCTCTCGGCCTGCCTGCCCCGGATTCTACATTTGCAACAGCAGGCTGGGGGCGGAGGCCTGGGGGGCTCTCGTGGCCCCCCAGCCCGGCCCCTGCCTCTGGCACCCCACCCGCACCCCAATTCCCTGCCCCAGGTCACAACTCCCTCCTGGACCCTGCACCTCCTCCTATACGCTTCCAGCAGTCCAGAATCCTCTCCTGCACCCATACCGCCTTCCAGACCCTGCCCCCAATCCTCTGCCCTCCCCTTCACCCACGCTCTCTCTCAGTCCCCACACCTCCTCCTGCACCCCAGTTCCCTACCCTGAGTTCCCTTCTGCACCCCACCTCCGTCCCAGAGCATGGAAAAGCGCATCCCCTTGAGCACTTACCAAAGTCCTGGAGTGTGCCCCCCGCTATCCAAAACGCTTGCCCACCCTGGTCTAGACGGTGCCGGGTCCTGCCATGAGCACGGGACTGGACTCGATGTCCTCTCGAGGTTCCCGCCCGTTCTAGGGTTCTATTCAGGAGGAAGCCATGCGCCCCCCGGGCCTAGCAATGCCGGTGTGCTGTGCTCTCTGCCGTGCCTCAACCTTGCCATCCTCTGGCAGGAAAGTTGCCCTAGAAGCCCTAAGGTGAATGCCCTCTGCAGACTTGGAACCGCTCCAAGGGCAGCTGGGTTTCAAGAGTCCCAGGAGGGTCGCCTACGGTCCTGTGGCTTGGCCCTCCAGCACAGGCCAAAGAATCCCCGGTAATATCCAACCTCCTGCTGGTCAGGAACCCGTTACCTTTGGCTCCTGTCAGCTCTTCTTTAGCAGAGTCTGGGGGGATATGCTCTTTTAAAAGCCCATGTGTTGGTCCAAGGTTGGGGGGTGAGTATATGGGGATGGGGAGTGTTGTTTGTCCAGAGTGGTAGGAAAGGCTCTTGTGCGGAACCCCTCTTAACCGAGACACCTCGACTAGGGGTGTAAAATCCCGTGTCGTTAGTTAACTGGCTACGTGTTAATTTTAACTGGTTCGCTGATGAAACGGGGGGCGAGTGGGCTACAGCGGCCCCTGCACCACTGGCAGGGCTGCTCCCGACCCTGCGCCGGGCTGCCAGAGGGCGGTTCCAGTCCCACAAAGCTGCTGGCTCCCCGCCTGGGTGGACTGGGAGTTGGCAGCATAGTTCCCACGAAGGGACACGCCTGCACATTCAAAATTCTTCCCCCGCCCGCCTTCTCTGAAGAGCCACGTGGCAGCACTCGCGTGGCAGGCGGCTGCTCCAGCAGGTGGGGCCCACAGCGTGGTGAGGGAGCAGGAGGGCGGGGCTTCCACACTGGTCGCTGGGGTTGGGAACAGGACCTGCGGGAGTCTGTCCAGCAGCTGGGAACGGGACATGCTACATGACCAGGCAGTGGGTTTCTGCTCCGGCGGCCGGAAACGGGCGTGTGAATAAATTGGGGGCCACGGGGGCACACATCCGAACCAGCGCTCATGACTCACTATTGGTGCACAAGCCAAACCTCACTCTGCTCATGGATGGAAAATCTTAGAGGGAACTCTGGTTGGCAGCCGTGTGTGGGGCGGAAGAGGCAGCTGGGAGCAGGGGAATCGGCAGCGTCATGCGGGGCTAGAAGCGGCAGCCCAGTGGCAGCCCCAGTGTCCTCCCCACACTGCTGCTTCCAGCCCCACACGAGGCTGCTGACTCCCGGCCCACGCCCGCAGCCCCACGGGATTGGAGCAGCCCACTCCCGGGTAACCAATATGCATCATCCATTAAGGGTGATACTTACCGGGTAACCAATTCCCCATTCACCTCCCTAATTTTGACCCATTCCAGTCAAGAACCACGACTTGCAGGCCCATTGGGCTGGATGCGGAGGGGTTGTCTTCGCTGCATTGTCCGTCCCGGCCCACGCCCGCAGCCCCACGGGATTGGAGCAGCCCACTCCCGGGTAACCAATATGCATCATCCATTAAGGGTGATACTTACCGGGTAACCAATTCCCCATTCACCTCCCTAATTTTGACCCATTCCAGTCAAGAACCACGACTTGCAGGCCCATTGGGCTGGATGCGGAGGGGTTGTCTTCGCTGCATTGTCCGTTCGAGCTGTGATTGGAAGTGTACTCTAACCCGGCTCCCATCCTTGCACAAAGCACCCGCTTGAGTTGCAAGGAGGTGCTCTAAGCCAAGCAGGAGTGGGGCGGTTGGAGGTTCTTCATGCAGAGGCGTGGCAGCATCTCAGCCGCGTACAATCGGAGAACCGTAGGGCTAGAAGGGACTCCAGAAGTCACCTCATCCACCACCCTGCCCAGATGCCGGATTTGTTGCGTGGCGCAAGTGGGAAGCAGGGTGGCCGTTTAGACTTGAGCGTGACTCACTTGAATGGAGTAACTCAAATACATTTCATAGAATCATAGAATAAGTCAGTGTTTCTTAAGCGGTCGTATGAGTCCCCTCAGGGGTACTCAAGAGAAGTCTGGGGGGGTACGTCCACACCACTGAAATCTGGAGAAAACTGAATTTTTGTTTGAAATTTTACTGCGTTTTATTATTTTTGTACTTTTTACACCCCAAAATGTCATCACCTGCCTGGCTACGATTAAGTTGTTTAAAGAAATGTGTTGCAATAGTAGAAAAATATGTGTGCCTGAAAACTGGAGGTACTGGGGGGACTTATACATTTTTTTTATTAAAAAAAGGTTGAGAAACGCTGGACTGAGTCGTGCTTTTTGTTGCAGTGAAGACGCGCTGAGGGATGGAAGAGCTGGTTCTTTCGCTGGCGTGTGGCCTCTTCCCACGTCACTGAGCAGCAGGGCCCGTGGAAAACGTGGCTTCCTTGAGGTTTCTCTTTCTCCCGCTTGTACTTTCGGGAAAACTCCCACCGACTGGCTGCCGTGTTCCTCTAGCACTGCACAAAAGATGGGTGGAGCCCTGCAAATCCGTGGCTATCCGCTGTACAGCCGCACGCATGCACATCCGCGGATGCAGGTATCCGCGGATCGTTTTGGCAGATGCAGATGGGGACATGGGTGGCGGGTAATGCAGGCAAAGGAAGGCGTTGCCTTCTAAAAACTGCCCGCACTGCCCAGCCGCCTGGGAGAGACTGGGGCTACGCAGTTCTTGGGTGACTGGGGAGAACTGGGGCCGTGCCACACAGCAATGCGAGCCCTCAATTAAGAATGGGTGGGGGGAAGCTTGGTGAAGATGCATGGTCTCGGGTGAAGGGGTGTGGCTTCGGGCAGAAGGGGCGGGGCTTTGGCTTGCCTTCCCCAATTGGGCCGTCACCCGCCACCCATGGATACCAATTTTGTATCCGCACAAGACTCTACAGAGGGGGAGGGTTGGACCTGACGTGGATTGAGCCCAGTTGGTTGGGGAGCCCAGTTGACTGACCTCGTGTGTCTACCAGCTTCCAGTAAAATGTGACTTCTCTCTTGATCTAGGACTGCCTGGGGTGGCATGGAAGGGACGGCTGCCCCCTGCGGCACTGTGCTCCAGCCCCCGTCTGTCACCTGAGGAGCGGCGCCTCTTGCTAGGTACGTGGCTTTCTGCCCCGTGGCGGAGTCAAGCCGTTCCCC